TGTAAGGGAAATTGAATTAGATAGGTACCTAGTTAAGAAACCAGTATGCTAATTCTCTTAAATAAAAAATGTAWATGTAATAAATAGCCCTTAATTAAATATCTTCTTCTTTCGCTTGACTATTTCTTTCTACTATGAAGGAAGTTTGAAATGAAGAGCTATGGAAGATTTTAACTTTCGATGTTCATWTAAAAATATCATAGCAGAAAATTACACGCGTTTATAACAAAAAAATATGATGTTTTCTTTTTTTCATGCTTTATTCATCTTCTTCTTCCCCTCTCTCAAAGAGRCATCAGTTAGAATACAAGATGGATTAAATCTAAAGATGAAGAAGAATAAAGAAAATTACAAGACAAGAGAAACAAATACCAAAAAACATGTTATTTGTTCATTATATACGTGATACACATAATGTGAATATGAGGAAAAAAATCACATGCTATTTGACATTTGTTAATATAATATGTGTTTGCCACAAATATGATGCATTTCTAACAAATTAATAACACGTTTTCTTCCTCATAAAATAACATGTTATTTAACGCGTGAATATATCTACTATGAGTTTAACTAAACGTGTTATTAGTTCCTAATGTATGTGAATTCCATAAATATGATGCTAAGTGTTGACAAAAAAACAGAAAATACGATGTTAAGTGAAATATAGTTCACCGAAGAAACTACATAATATATAAATAATTAACACGCATATAACATAAATTAGGGCTAAAAAGTGTTTTTGTGTTCTCTGTATAAAAAATTCCGTTTATGCGAAAGTGGTTTTCTAACTTTTCATTTGACCAATTTTTAAAAAACATTTCCCCATTAGTGGGCATACCATTCTTTACAAATGTTATACTTTTATTTTGACCGTCAATTGCAATGAAGTATTTTCATTTTGTTTCCAACTATTTTTTTTTTACCATTTTTACATTTTTATTCAGCATAAATAAATAATATTCTCTAAGGGATAAGATTGTTGTATTTTAATGGAAAAAAATCTTGTAGATAAGATAAGCTTAAGAAATCTTTGGGTACAATGTATCCAACCCTAAAATGTGATTTTCTATCTTTGCAGTAAAAAAGTTTTTTTTTTTTCTTTTGAGAAATTTGCAGTAAAAAAGGTTTCAACCCCGTACGTCCATCTCTTTAAATAGCCGCTCATTCTCTAACCTAAGTTCATATCTTTTGTTTGATTCTTTAAAGTGTCTTTTGTTTGATTCTTTGTGAATTCTATTCCATCTCTCCTTTTACACGTTTGAGATGTTTATTTGTTTTTTGATTGATATATCACTCGTTTGAGACGTTGTCAGGGGTTTCAACCATTGACAAATTGTTTTCGCACATCTCTCAAACGAATGAGACCATAGAGATGGAATGGGTTTATGAAATCTCCACACATGTTTTTGTTTGTCATTTTCGTTTGTATTGTGTTTCTAAACGTATTTTTTCTGTTTTCTTCTAACACTTGTTTGATAGGTTTTGGATATGACCATATATATATCCCCATGTATAGCTTACTTGGATTTGAGTTTCTGCACAAGAATATGAGCTTTTTGTCTTCTAGATCAAAACATTTTTGCTTTGTTTAGAAATGGAGAATATGCGTTAGTCTTATAGACTGCAAAATCTCATATACTTGTGCAACAACTCTCACACGAGTAGTCTATACAGCTTATCTTTGTTGATATGCTATTACGTCTTTTTGTAAAATTGTTCGTTCTTTCAAACCCGTTGATAACTGCTGGTTTTATTACGTTAGCACCAAGTAGTTTTGCTATAAGAAGCCGTCAATGAAAGGAGAAATTAGCTAGTTGTATCCATACCAGGAGAAGCTATGTATGACGGTTTCTCCTTTGTTTGACTTGAATTGCTTCGAAGTAAAATATTTGTTGCTAGTAGATTAATACCAGTATGTATTTACGGTTTTAAAAGATTGGATATATTTTACTGAAATTCGCAATAGGATCTCAATAAAAGACACCTTATTGCTTATTATTGCTAGATCTCTCGTAGTTTGTTAATTGTATATGATCCAACTCTCTTGTGTACTTCTTCAATTTCTCTTGCTTGTGTCTTTAAAACCATTTCATGAAATGATTAATCTGATATATCTRTACAAAAATCAGGTGTCATTCAAATGATTTTGTCTCCTAGGATTTTAGAATACTTTTCAGAATCAAATTGTTAAGCAATCACTTGTCATGATGGTTTTGTTTATTCGAATATATATGAATTCAGGTATGTTTAAAGATTTCTTAATTTGAAAACAAGGTAAAGACATCAATTCATGTAATATCTAGAGAATGCTACTGGTTTATTATCTCTAATTCTCTGGCTTGGATTTCATTTTTCAACTCGCAGAGTACAGACCCAACTGGCTTCATGATTGAGGAGCCAAAATACAGAACTGACTCGAGAGCTCGACGACATAAACACAGATTTGCGCAGATTCGACACCATCCCTCTTCTTACTCCTTTGAGATCTGAACCAGACTTGAAACCATTTAGAGATTTTTTCCCCATGAATCAATGGTTCCAACTCGTGATCAGATCTTAACCGTGTGAGACCATAGAGATATGGGTTAGTGTTAGGAGTCTGCCCATATGTTGTTTTTGTTTGATATTTTCTTCTTCTAATGTTTGTGTTTTCTTCTATAACATAATTAAGGTTTCGGTTTTTTTTTTTTTGGAAAAATGTCTGAAAATGTCACATTCCAAGTTTATAATTACATGGAATGTGACATGTGTGTTTTTCATTTTAAAAATGTCACTTACACGATATTATGACTAAAATACCCTTTGTATATATGTGTGGGAGTGTGCAGAGTATTTAATACTGGACAGAGCATTTAATGCTGGAGAGAGAATGAAACACGTACACGGATAGGTGGATTGTCTACGTACACCAACGAAACACGCACATATTAACGTACATGAAACACATGCGTTGATGATGTACACTTAACAACTTAATGATGATATACCAAAAGAATGCGTACACTGAGAGCCACTATAATAATTAGATATGTAGTGTACATATAGTTTCACTTAGTGTGAGTGTACATAGTTTTATTGAATGTACATGGTATTTGTGTATGTGTATATCATCCAATATTCGTGTACTTACAATTACTGATATACGAGAATTTTGTGTACGTGTGATTTTATTGAATGCACATGACTAGTAACACATATGTAGTTTCATGTATATGTGACTGGTAACGTATTGAGTGTACATGGTATTTGTGTATGTGCATATCGTCCAGTATTCGTGTACTGAAAGATATGCAC